ATTAAACGGTTGATTGTAACTTTTAAAAGAAGAATATATGGATATAATTCTTGTTTTTCTGTCTTTAAAATTTGTTTATACATCTAGACTTGATTATAGATCACAAGATATAAATCTTATACATCCAAATACTACAAGTATAATTGTTTCAAGATTACTTATGATGGTACATAATGCAATTCCATCTCAAGATACCATACAAATAGGCCAATCTATTGACAATGATGTAATCCTAGAAGATGGGATTCAGGGCAATATAACCGTTACCATGCAAATATGGCTTTATAGTGTTGAAAGAAGGGAAAATTATGTATATTGTTCAACTAACCCTTCTGAGGAAGAAGAGAGAAATAGTACCACAGTAAGACATGATTTAGATAATCTAATAATGGAATATTATTAAGAGCTTTTAAGACTTGGATCTAGAATGATTTCTATAACATCAAGAATATGGTATTTATTATTTGATTAATAACATACCTCCTGAAGGAGGATCGAGACAAATATTATCAATGAAAACAAGTGATTTAAATGACTGCCAGATTTATTTAAACACATTAATTAGTTCCACAATTTACAATGTTTTATTGCCTTATCATTTTATAAGATCTTCAAACAGAAAGCATTTCTTTATTTACATCCTAATTGTAAACTAGAACTTTATATACATAATAAATCAAGGTGGTCAATTTTAGGAAATCATAAAACTTGTTTTCTTATATTGCAACCTGATGGAAATTTAGTGTTTTATTCTGAAAATAAAAATATTTTATGGTCACCAAACAAATACTGTAAAGATCAACCTAGTTGTATAATGACTACATATCTCTTTTTACAAAATGATTGTAACTTAGTTTTATATAAGCACTATCAAAAACGTTTTTCTACAAACATTAAAACTATACCACTTTGGTCGACTAATACTTTTTGCTAAGTTATTAAAAATCAAATTATTAAAAAATTTAAAAGTAAAACCTTACTTACTTTACAATTTAAATATAAAATGCTATAATATATAACTTCAGGATATTCAATAAAAATGAATTCTGACATTTCATGAAAAATGTCAAGGTATCATGTTAAACTTTAAACCTAGAATTAATTTACTTCAGAGGCCCCAAAACTGCATCTTCAATCTCATATCCTTTGCCAACCATCTCTTCCACAAACTTGGCCGCCTTGCCTCGTGCCTTCCCACCATACGCCAAGTCCATAATCTCCTCCAGCACCGCTCGAGCCTCTCCTCCCTGCCCCGATTTACAAAGCCCCGCCACCAAACTAGCACACCTCTCCGGAGCCGGGAGCTGCCCACCTCGTACCATATCCCTCACAAACCCCAGCGCCATCTCCATCTTCCCTGCCTCGAGCAAACCATCCACGGCAAAGCGATACACTTCGTCACCCCACGCCTCGCTCCGCAAGCTCTCTCGCCCCTCGCGGAGTATCTCCAGCGCCCGAGCACTCCTGCCGCTCTTGCAAAGCTCCGCTGCCAGCGTCCCATACACGACGTGGTCGGGGGAGATCCCTGCGCAGACCATCTCCCCGAAGAGCTTGAGACCTCCATCGACCTGACCCGCGGAGCAAAACCCGAGTATCAGCGCAGTGTACGTGAACAAGTTTGGAGCGCAGCCGGAGCTCTTCATCTGCGCGAACACCCCGCAAGCTTCCGGTAGCCGGTTGGCCTTGCAAAGCCCCGAGACGAGCGCAGTGTAAGTCACCACGTTTGGAGCAAGCCCCCGGGCGACCATGTCCGAGAGGAGCTCCCGGGCTCTCTCCGTTTGCCCCGCCCGGCAATGCCCGTGGACGAGCGTGTTGTAAGTCACCACGTCCGGGGATTGCCCGCTGGAAACCATCGCGTCTAGCACCTCTCGAGCTTCTTTGATCCGGCCCGCCTTGCACAGCCCGTGAATCAGAGTGTTTTGCGTCACGACCGTCGGCTTGCACTGCCTCTTCACCATGTCCTCCAAAAGGTGGCGGGCATCGTCGACTCTGGCGATGGAGCAAAGCCCGGAGATGAGTGTGCTGTAAGTCACCACGTCCGGGACGTGGCCATCGTCGGTCATCCTCTTGAGCAGCCTGAAAGCCTCGTCCAGCTTTCCTCTCTTGCAGTGAGCGTCGATCAGGATGTTGAAGGTGAAGCGGCTGGGGCGGC